GGGTTTGAAAGAGAGAAAGAAAGAAAGAAAGAAAAGAGAAACAGGGTAAAAGATCACAAAAAATTCCATGCGTATTTTCCTTGCATTTTAATATAAGATTCGCCAATGACCACTAGGTCAAACGGCATGGGATAGCATGGGTGGGGCTTGGGTTTAGGAGCGCGTGGTTTGATCCTATATTACACACACACACACACACACGCACGCACGCACACACACATATAGACACTACAATCATGCGTTATATATTCTCCTCTTCATCCCAAACCAAGAAACAGTATCACCGCTTCTTCTAAGGGCTTTGAAACCTTGATCTCCACCTCCAGTCTATACTTCCCAAACATTTTCTAGCTGCTCAATCTCCCTAATATTCCTCTTTGGCCACTTCTAAAACGTACATCAACATAACAGCATATGGAATAAATAGTATTTTCAATCTATAGGCTGCCCAATGTTGTTTAAAAGCTTCTGAGGAAATAAGGTAATATCACATTTATTCTTGCAAAAATCAAATTCTCTGCTTTACGATAGCTAGAATAACCACCTAACTACCTCTACTGAGGAATCTACTAAAAACTGCAAAACATAGCATGGGCAATTAAAGATTCCCCTCATGACTCATTAGAAGCATTTCGCCTTTTCTAATATTCAACTCTACTTAACAGATATTTCCACCAACACTAATGCGAATACTTTTCACAGATTAGAAGACAACCAACTAATGGATGCACAAAAGGAAAAATACCAAAGGGCCAGAAACTTCATCAGCTTTCTCTTTCCCATACAACTGTTCAACCAACGCAACTGAAAATTCCATTGTAGTTCCAGGTCCACGGCTTGTTACAACTTTTCCATCCACCTGTACCCTTGACTCAACAGCATTTGCACCACTGGATGCTAGTTGTTCCATAAAAGAAGGATAGCCTGTTGCCTGTCAAAGATTAGTTTCTGAGTCATTATCAACTATACAAACGAAACCACTTACCAAAGAAACCGAAGCAGTAGTAGGTATTTGACACACTTACTTTTAATCCCTTCAGTAAACCCCATGCCCCAAGAGCCACAGCAGGTGAAGCACATATTGCAGCATAAAGCTGCCCATCTGCAGCTTGCTTCCTAACCAGGCTTTCCAGAACTCCATTGTTTTTAAGATTGGCAGCGCCGGGTATGCCTCCCTATAATATGTAGAAAGAAAAAGCATAGTTACAAAACCAAGTAGTGAAGAGCAGTTCTAGCAGATAGAGTAGATTTAAAATAAGCCCTCCACTGTGAATTAGTAAATACTACATAAAGGGTTGAGTACGAACATTTCATCGTTCGACAACTTCTATTAGACTTCTAACATGCATTTAGACTTTGAATTTAACTCAAACATTATATCTAACAATAAAAATTGTTATAATGGAAGAAAATTACAGGAAAATATACTATTTCAGAAACAATTGGCAATAAAGAATTAAACAGCGAAGCCAAGAATCAACCTAACAAATGAATTTAATCCCCATAAAAAATAAATAATCAATAATAAAATATCAGACCACAAACAACATTAGAACAGCTAAACAAACATCAAGAAGACAAGAAACATTCATGTGGTTTGGCACATATTGCCACGCTGCACGGGCAAACCAAAGCAGAAAAGCTTCCGCTATTGAACATCAAACTTGCACCCTCTTCCTTACCAGTTCATAAAACAAGAAAAACACCGACACTCGCTTGGATGTATCTATATTCCATCCGCCAAGATAAAAGGCCATATACACTTTATATTAAAGCCGTTAGTAGCTCCTAACTAACTTTAACCCCTCATAACGGTTAGAAAGTAACTAACAGAACAAGTCGATTAAAATCTTTAATATCACCAACCAGAACATAACATCGCTGAATAGTTTTCATTGAATAATCAAAATTTAAGCAAAAATCTTCATTATCATGCCTATCTAAGCTTAGTGTAAATAAAAGGTCCTCATTTCTTCATCTTTTCCGAATGTTTCTCGTCATCCAAACAGCCTAAAAAAATCAAGAGAAAGAGAGATAAATACATACCGGTAGAGTAATGAGATCGAAGACGCTTTGGCTGCAATCAGAAATCAAAGCATCGGCGACGATCTTGACTCCATGGCAAGCATCGACTCGGAGCTGCTTCTCGACGGAAGCAACGGTGACGTCAGCTCCAGCTCGTCGCAGGACGTCGATCGTGATCACCGCCTCAATCGGTTCGGTGCCATTCGCGATCGGAAGCAAAACCTAAGGGAAAAAAAACCAAAACGATCACCATTTCCGGGCAAAAAAAAAAAACAAAAAAGAAAAGCAGATTGAGTAGAGAACTCAGTACGTACCTTTCGAGAAGGAGAAGCCATGGCGGTGGCGGAGACGGAGAAGGAGAAGCGGTTGGGAGATCGGAGCTTCTTCGATGGAGAAGAGGAGCGAGGGAAAGAGAGAGAGAAAGAGGGTTTGGTTTTGGTGCTAAGTGAGGCAGTAGTAGGAGTGTCATTTGGGGGAGCTGTTATTTATACCTTTATTATGAGTTTTCTAGAGACAGAGAGATGGACATGATTGATTGAGCGGAGGAGTACTAGGAATTGGGAGGGGCTAGTGTTGGGTGCGGATATGGTGAATGTGGTTCCATGAGCCTTGCCTTCTTGGGGTTCCAGTTGCCACGTTGAGAGTAGGGCCGTTCATTTCGTTGATTCGAATTTGTAATTTGAGTTGAGATATAATTTTATGTGAGAATTTTTTACTGTAGTAAAAAAGTTAGATGTGACTGTTTCTGAGAGCTTTTTACTGTAGTAAAACTCGAATTTTAAAGTCGAATCGGCGAAATGAACGGTTCCCATATCTGTGAATGTGATTCCATGAGCCTTGTATATGGTGTTCCTTCTTTCTTGAGAACATCGGTATTTTTTAAACGTGTTTAAAACTCATTTTAAAATAATTTTATTTTATATAAAAATAAAAATGAAAACGTTTTCAATCTCATACAGAAATTACTTTTGAAAATACCTTTGGTAGTTTTATTAAGAGATTATTTTCAGTGTAAAAAAACTCATTAATGTCTCTCTTTCTCTCAAACACGCACTAAATGTCTCATTTTTCACTTCTCTCTCATTTTACACTAAACCAAAAAATCGTTTTCATTTCTATTTTTTGTTTTTATTGCGTCAAACACCGTTTTGAAAACGTTTTCATTTTTTCTTTTTCGAAAAATGTGAAAAATAAAAACGGGATCAATTCCAATCACGGCCTCTGTTTTTTTAATCGATAGATCTAGTTAAAATCACACCAAACTAAAACGGTACATAAAACAAATAAATTTTAATATAAATTTGACAATTGAAAAATAAAAAACATCAAAGATTCTTTAATTAAGCTTCATCCATACTATTATGCTCCTTTTAAACTAGTTTATATTTTGTTTCTTTTTCTTTTTCGAAAAGGGAATATGCCGGTGCATTACCCGTAATGTTAAAAAAAAAAAAATCTCATATTTCTAAGTATGATACTGTTCAGTTGCATAATCTTCTTCACGGGCTTTATACCAAAAGATTTCATAAATAATATCATACCAAATAATGTTCAATCGTGTGATTGATAAGGACTCTGGTAGTGAATTTGCTTTTAATTTAGAAAGCTGCACAAGTATTCTCCCAACTTTTATCAAAATATTCTCTCTTTTTGTTATTACTAGTTGAAACCGGGCGCATATGCCAACGAGATTTTATAAGTAATAATAAAAAAATATTTATTGAAATTTCATTTGGAGAAATAAAAGAAAAATGTATAATAAGACAAAAAAAGGGTAAATTACATTTGTGTCCCTTGAACTGTTGGTCTTGTAATAAAATGCCCTCTAAAGTTTAAAATTAACAAATTTTCTCATTGAATAATTCGTCGTTAGCACACGTCTCCATTTTCCACCACCTCCATTAAATTTTGAACGTTAAATGCCACGTGAAAGTCATTGAGGCATTTAATTTTTATTGTATTATGAAATGACGATTTTACCTATATAGATTGGTCAATCTAACTAATCATTAAACGCCATATATGGGCGGTCCTACACCTGTCACCCAATCAAAAGCCTCCCCAACCGCACTCTCTTTCCTCTTCCTTTCCCGTGCACAACCATCAAGCTCCGGCAAGTATTCCGGCGTCCATTTTTGACACCTCCTGGCTCATCAAAAAGCTCTCGTCGAGCCGAGTCTGGATTGGTGTCTTGCAGCTGCCAACTCTGCCAGATGAAGCCACACTTTCCGACTGAAGTTCTGGTAAGCCCAAACTTTCCAATCGCCATAACTTTTATGTATGACCTCCGATCGGAGTGATTCCGGTCTTTATGAACTCATAGTGACAGGAGGAACAAGACCCACCCAAAGTTTGCCGTCAATTCCCGCCAAAAAAGCTTCACCAGAGCTGCCCTCCATGGCCGCCATGCCTACTCTCAAAAAATCACAATCCCGGCAGTGAAGTGCACCACTCCCACCATTTCACTCAGAATCTGTAGATGAGTCAATCCCGACCAGTAGCCGCTGACATCCTTGCCGATTTGCAAGAATTCAAAGTCACCGCTGCTACCCGCCGTGGAGGAGTTTGGTTCCATTGATTTTGGCCGCCATTTCTCATGTTGTTGGTGTCAAAACACTCATAAATAAGTGGGTTACCAAAGCCCTAACTCAATTTCTCTGGTCCATGGCTCACATATGGAGAATTGGAGAAGAGAGATTTCTCATGCCATTTGTTTGTTTCTTGAGAAATTTAAATGGCTTTTGCCCTATTTCTAACTTAACACAGTAAATTACTTATTTACTCTTAAAATGAGTCACGTGGCACTTAACGTTTAAAATTTAACCGAGAGAGCGGAAGAGGAGGATGCGTACTAACGGTAAATTGTTTAGGAGGAAAATTTGTTAATTTTAAACGTTAAGGGGTATTTCGTTGTAAGGCCAATAGTTTAGAGGGGTATACTATAATTTGTCCAAAAAATAAATATAAAACTAAGGGGGGAAGACAAAAATAAAAAATAAAAAGAGAGGGTAAAAGGAAGTAAAGTAAAAAATGAAAATAAAAATTAAAAAAAAAACATTACGAACCCTTTGTCAAGGAAAGAAGATTTATAAAAAAAATAGACACAAACATGTAGGAAAAAAAATTATTTTAACGGGAAATTAATGAAAAAATATATTTATAAAAGTTAATTTAGAGAAATGGAAAAAAAATACATAATAGGGCAAAAAAGTAAGAGTGGAAAAAGGACATACAAGAAAAGAAAGAGAGAGAGAAAAAGAGGGTGGAAAGTTTTTTAAAAGAAAAAAAAGAAAAGAAAAGAAAGCAAAAGTTAAAATAAATAAATAACTAAGGGCTTATTTTTTTAAAATTTAACTTGAGTATAATTCTTTAGTTGAATTTGAGTTATAACTTGAGTTAAACTTGTAACTTGAGTTTGTGTTTGGTTGTGTTTGAGTGAGTCAAAATTTAAATTTGTATTTAGATAGTATTTTAATAAAAACTCAATGCTGATGAAAAATTTTAATATGGTATATGGGTCGGGTTTTATTCGTCTTTTCGTTGTCAACGCATAGAAAAAAAATCATCTCAATCAGAATTAAAATGAAAAAGTTATAGCATTTTTAAGAATAGAAAAAATACTGTTCATTAATTTGAGTTCGAGTTTCTGAACTCGAGTTGAAGGGAAAACTTGAACTCGAATTTTAGTCCTAAACTCAAATTTGAACTCGAGTTTAAACTTAAAAGAACATAAATTCAAATAAAATTATAATTCGAATTGTATTTTTTTGAGTTTTTCACTCAAAAGAACAAACCCTAACTAACTAACAAAATGACACTGACGAAAGAACGGATAATGGATGTTCTTTCTTAGAAAGAAAAATGGGTGCACTGTCCGTAATGCACGATTGAGGAAGACTCTGGTAGTGAATTTGATGCCAAACACTTCTATTCAAAAATATTGATTGTTTCACTTTCACCCAATCACTTACCCATATCGAGTTGGTAACGCTAATTTCATCTTTACACTACTTTAGTGTCCAGTTTGTAGTTCACCAAGAGTGTGTTTGTTAGAGTGGAAAATGGAGAGAGAAAAAATTAGAGGAAAGATTTTAAAGAGGAAAATTAAAAGATTGTTTGTCAGAGTGGAAAATGGAGAGAGAACAAAATTAGAGGAAAGATTTTAGAGAGAAAAATGAAAAGTTTGTTTGGTACAAAAAAAAAAATGAGAAATGAAGATGAAAAATTATAGGGCCTATTAATTTTTAATTCTTCTAATTTTGAAAATAATAAAAGAGAGAAATAATTTGACAACTAAATGAGGTGTAAAATAACTATTAACTTATCATTAATCATATTTTAATTTGTATTGAGGTATTATTATAAAATTTATTAGATTTGACATTTTTTTTACTTTTATTTCTCTTTTACTAAACAATACGAGAAAAAAATCCCCATTTTACCATTCTATTTCTTTCATTTAGGTATTTTACTTCTTCTTTCTTCCTATTTTTCTATCCATCTTACTAAATATAACAAAAAAAAAAAAATTATAACACATACAGGTTATCTTTTAAAAATATTTATAATAAATAGTTTACTTTAAAATATCTATAGTTGTATATTTATAAAATAAATTTTATCGTAAATGTGCTTTGTAAATGGACTATTTATCATAAATATATTAATTGCTATAAATATTCTTAAAAAATCCTATTTGATCTTTCTGCATCTTATAATTTGAATCAAAATAAAAGCAGCTTGATCTTAAAAATATTTCTGCATATTTTTATAACATATTTTGATATGTATGGCAGTTTTAAGATTCGATAATTTTAAGCGTGTGTTTTTTCATATTTACCCCATTGTTTTTTTCCTTTTTTTATTATCTCCCTCTTGCATTTATCTCTCTCTGTCTCGCTATCCTCGACTCCTCGTAACTCTCTCCGATCTCTCTTTCCTCATCCCAATCTCTCTCCCCTCCCCATATGTCTTTCTTTTTCATCCAGATCTCTCATTGTATCTCAAAAACTTGTCCATTTCATATGCATTTTTAATTTAATGTGATTTAAAATATATTCAACAATTAGATATTGATTTTAACAATAAAAATATCTTACCAAAAAAAAATTTAAACGAAAAATAAAACAAAAAAAGAATACCATAATAAAGATTTAAAAAAAATAAGCAAAAAGAGAAAAAGGAGTATTAGAAAGAGCTAAGATTCTTTGCTTTTAAGATGTCACGTAGCAATCCGAAAGAAATGAGTCTTTAGCTCTTTTTTATTATGTATGTATATGTATATACAAGTTGAGTCATGCACTATGCACGTGGAGAATAACTTTATCAGTTTAATCATGCGTCAAAACATGTGATTTCCTTAGAAACTAAATCCATTAATTAGAGTAAAAGAAGAAAAAGTATTTCAAAAAATACATAAAATTAATTAAGATTGTAGGAGTTTTTGACCCAAAAAAACTTAAGTAGGGAGATATTGGCAAGGAATTATTTTAATTAAAAGAAAGAGAAAAAATATTTAAAAGAAGGATATTGTAAAAAAATGAATTGTCAAATAGTATTAGGGGAAAAATAAAAATAGACAATAAGACAAATATAAAAAATAAAAAAATAAAAAAAATGTTTATAAAGAAAACAGGAAAAGCTAAAAAGAAACTATATATAAGTTCTAGGGAAAAGAGAAAAAAAAAACAAGCAAGAAATTAAAAGTGAAAAGAAAAAAAGTATAAAAAAAATAAAATATGAAGGAAAAAAGAAGAGGTTGACACATAATAAAAAGAGGAGTATTCTTTTTTGCTCTTTTATGTATGTTTAGATTTATATGAGATTAGATATAAATATAGATCAATATTACTGTTTCTAATTTGTCTATGGTCAAATAATTTTATTTACAAATAAATGCTTTTAAATATTTTTCTTACAATTATTACCCATTAAATTACTTTCATCCTCAATTGTGCTCACATGAATATCTTTTTACTTATTTATGGGCCTCTACGATAAGATCTTTTAAAAAAATTCACTTGCGAAATACCTTTATGTTCATTTCATCGATTCGAGTTTAGAATTTAATTTTTGCTACAGTAAAAAGTTATCAGAAATAATCACATATAACTTTTTTGTTACATTAAAAAGCTCTCACATAAAGTCACATATCAACTCGAATTAAAAAATCGAATCAGTGAACTAAACAGAGCCATTGTTTTGACCGTTAGATTAAGTTTTAAATGGTCAAATCTGTGCAAGTCTATATTAAAAATTTACATCGCGATGCACATAACTGCTCTCTGTATATCTGACCGTTGGGTATTTTTATGGGGTCTCACCTGGTGGGTTTTTTTTTTATGAAGTCTTAGTAAAAAACTATTGGTCCATTTAGTTTACTGATTCGAGTTGAGATATGACTTTACGTGAGAGATTTTTATTATAATAAAAAAGTTAAATGTGATTATTTTTTAGAACCTTTTACTATAATAAAATTTAAATTAATGAAATAAACGAGATATATATATAAGTAGACTTCTCCATTTATTTTGTTGTTTTGTGTTGTTTCTTTTGCTTTGTCCCTACTAAATAATTTTTCTCAACATATCCTCATCTGAATAAGAACAGTCAATGTGTCGTTTCAAAACTTTTCTATGATACTTTAAATATATCTTTTTAAAAGTAACCCTTATAAATATTTCTCCCTAATTTGTCTAACTAAAGTATTATTCTCAAATTTCTCCCTACTTAGATTTGTTTTTTTCTCTTTTGGCGGCACTATCAACTATTATTTGTCTTATAAATTCTATCACGTAATTTACCCTTGTTCAAACAATTTATCTCCGTATGTCCCTACTCAAACATTTCACACACAGGTGAAAAAAATAAACATTGTCTATTGCCCTTTGTTAGAACTTTTTATATTGTAGATCAAAATTTCAACTATTGATTGTTGATTATTGGAATTTCAAGTTATTCAATATGTAAGAATTATATGATTATTTTACAATAGTCAATTTTTTTTCAAATTAAATCCACTCATTTTTATTTTTAGCATAACTTTATTTTTTTAGCATTTAAAACACTTTAAAACCATATCAAACATTAAACTTCAGCCATCACACATTCATCTCACAATTTCCACAAAATCATGAAACTAGAGGCAAATAACCTAGGCCTTTATCCCACTTTTTCCATATATTCATCAACATTCTCAAGATTGAGTTTTTGAAGTCATTTACCTTTGATTGGTGTCTAGCTTGCCTTGGAAAACCATAGCTCTCCCTTTAGTGTCTTCTTCTAAGAAGAAAAATCATGTTTTAAGGACATGTAGAAAAATGTAGAGAAGAACAAAGTTTGAAAAACCAAACTTAGGATTTTCTTACCAAAATCTTCTTTGAGGTCTTGGATCTTCCAACTAGGAGATGAGAAACAAGATTGTGGAACTTGTTTTGAGAAAATTTTGAGAGTGGGAGGGAGTGTGAGCTTAGGGAAGAATGAGAAGAAATTGAGCCCGTTCACTTCGCTGATTCGAGTTTAGAATTCAAGTTTTTCTACAGTAAAAAGCTCTCACAAACAATCACATCTAACTTTTTTGCTACAGTAAAAAACTCTCATATAAAATCACATCTCAACTCAAATTTAAAACTTGAATCAGCGAAGTAAACGAGGTTGTTTTCACTTGGGACTATTTCAAAGCTTTTGTTTTCATTTGGGACTATTTAAAGTCAAAGCTTCAAGGGTATTTTTGGAACACAAAGGTTTTGGGAGAGAAGCCTGAGGGGGTCGGTTTTCTCATGCATTGGGAGAGGGAAATGGTACAATTTTCCAAGTGTAATTATTACACTTTAATTCTAAATCCTTTGGGTAATTTCTATCTTTATTCAAAGCCTTTTAACCAAAAGCTATAATTCCATTTGTGGTAAGATTCTCCATCAAGGCTTTTCACTTAGACATGACTAGGTGTTGGCGGGCCCTTTTTTTTTTCTTTTTTTTTTTTCCCTTAAAGGTAGATTTAATCCTACTCTTGACATGAATTTCTATTATATTCTAACCATTGGATTGGAATTCTTCTTACCATATCTATTGATGTAATAAGAAACACATGAGTACATTTAACATCTGAGTATCTTAATATTAGTATATTTTCATACTGACTAGATCAAGTACTCCCGTTCGGTTCGCTAATTTGAGTTTTTAATTCGAGTTGAGATGTGATGTTGTGTGAGAAGTTTTTACTGTAGCAAAAAAGTTATATGTGACTGTTTCTGAAAGCTTTTTACTGTAGCAAAACTCAAATTTTAAACTCGAATCTGCGAAAAGAACGGAGCCTATTGTGTGGCATGAGTTGACATGATCTGATCTTTGATTTGTGAATACTGTTATGATATGATTATTTATTTTACGAGCGTTCTTCCGGGAATTAAAACTTCCGATATTACATAATAAATTTTGATTTCTTTTTTAGTATCCTGTCTTAGTGAGAATTTACAGTTTACAGTTATCGGTCTTGGCACTATCACTTTGATATTGAAATTCACAAGATATTTTTATTTGAGAATTTTAGTCACTTAAATTTACACTTAAAAATAAACGTGACATTTTAAATTAATTGTCACGAAATAATTCACCTTACTTAGCATTTGAATTCCACATTATTGAAATGTACAAATTAACGGAAAAATTCATTATCTTAATATTGTTAATTATCGGGATTTGTCTTAATGAATTTTCCGAACATTACAAAATTCACATGTAATAGCTTTTATTGGTTATAACTTATAAGTGAGTCACATTAGTTGCACATGACTATCCACCAAAATATTTTTAAGTTCCATACATCTGGCTAGTTTTAAGGACAATTCAAGATTTTAGACAGTATTTTCTTTCACAAAAAAATTAACTTTAATTTTTTTTTATTATAGTATTTTTTATATGAATTCACTGAAGTCAAACGTCTACACTAATCTCAGTAATTTTTTTAAAGTAAATTAAAATAAGAGTAATTGGCACCATTGGTCCCTAAACTGTTTAGTAAGTGACATTTTGGTCATCATTTTTTTTAAAATTTTGGTGAAACAATCCTCAAACTCTTTAAATATTGACAATCTTAACCTTTCCGTCAAAATCCATTAAATATTTAACATAGTAGATCACTTGCGGTGCAGGTGATACGATAAAAAGGGTATTTTAATAAAATATCAGAAGTTTAATCTTAATAAGAGGTAAAATAAAAACTAAAACAAATAAACAAAAAAGAGAAAAAAAACAGGTCAGATCAATTAAAAAAGCAAAAAACAAAATCAGTCCTTAAGAAAAACATAAAACTAAAAAACAAAGGCGTTTTTGGAATTGATTCTGTTTTTGTTTTTTACATTTTTCGAGAAATAAAAAATGAGAACGTTTCTAAAACGGCGTTTGACACAATAAAGATAAAAAACAGAAATAAAAATAATTTTTTTGTTTAGTGTAAAATGAGAGAGAAATGAAAAATGACTTTAGTCGTTTTTCATTTTTTGTTTTCATTTTCTCCTCTCTCGAGAATAGAGAAAGAGATAGAGACATTAATGAGTTTCAAAAATGATTTATGTTTGAGATTGAAAACGTTTTCATTTTCATTTTCATTTTCATTTTCATTTTCATTTTCATTTTCATTTTCATTTTCATTTTCATTTTCATTTTCATACAAAAAATAAAATCATTTTAGAACGAGTTCCAAATGCGTCCAAAAACTCCAATTCCAAATTGATGGAGGTCGAAGGGGGCTCAAAAGGACAACATTCTCGTTAATGTGATGGAGGGTTGGTCGCGCAGTTATGGGTGCGACGGAGTTTCACGGAGTTCTGGATTTACAATGGGTTCTCGCAGCGAAATGCTTCAAACAAATTTGAAATATGCTCCAAACCCAGATCAAGATCGACGAGAAAAGAGTTAGATGGAAATGTTTTAATTGTCAAAATTTTAAAATTTTGGGGATTTTTTGTTAAAATTAAAAAAAAATAAGACTAAACTGTCATCTGTTAAACAGTTTAGGGACCAATGGTCCAATTACCTTTAAAATTTTCAGAAAAGAGTTTTTTATTTTTAACGGATAACAAATAACAAAAGAACAAAATCTCAAAACAAATCAAAAGAGAGGAGTAGTGTTGTACTCTGGAGGGGAGAGAGGCGACCAAACCCTTCATTGTCTGAACAACGCCGGCGGCGACGGCGGCGTTTGTGGGAGAATTGACCGGCGAGATCCGACGGCCTTGCCGAGCTACCAGCTCAAAACCTCGATCTGCAATGGTGGCGAACGGTTTCCCCTAACGGACCAGATCTATTGTGGCGGCAAATGCGGTGCCCGGAACTCCGGATAGCGGCGAAGGAACCCTAGGCGATCGGAGCTTGGAATGGCGGTGGAACAATGAAAACCTTGGGGACAGCGTGAACGAGCTCGGAATGGCGGCATGCAAGGTTCTGACGACGAAACCCTAAGTGCGGCAATGAAAGCTTTTCATTTTTGTGTTTTAAGTAATGATTATTGTATAATTTGTGTCGAAGGTTAATTATTATGTACATTTAATGCTTGGTGATGAAAGGTAATTATTGCATTAAATAGATTTCGGATTGATTTAGTTTTAGCGTGGAATCCAAATGGAGTAATTGGGTTTATATGGGAATAGAATCTAATTTTCATTGAGTTTTTACCGTTTTGAACTGACATGCAATGGCACTGACGCAATAGTTTTAAGTCATTTCATGACATTCATGAGAATTTATGTTCTTTTGTTTTGGGTTAAAGTCTATCAATAGTAATAAGTAGTTATCACCTTTCAATTACATTATACATTACACAAGTTTGTTCTCATTGCAGACGTAGGTTATTTAGAAATGATGTTCACATTACTATCCAAAAGCTTATTGTGCTAGATATATCTATATATATTCATTTTCTTAGTTTTTCTATCTGGGTTTCTGTTGTTGCAGGTTCTTAACGGTTACTGGATAGTTTGACAATAAACTAGAGTCAGATATGTTCAGTATCTTCTTATACACTCGGATTTGAATGTTTTGAACCGCGGGCGGGGGAATTGAGGTTTTTGCAGCAATATTGAGCCGTGTAGAACTTATGCTTTGGGAAAGGAGAATGTGTAAACAGAAAATTAAAGCAATGTAGCCCCCATGCTCTTTGATGGTAGCTCTATCTAGAGTGAACAGAAGAGACTGTAAAATATTAAATTCTGTCAAATTAGTTGAGATGTTGTTGGATGACGAAATTGAAGATTTGATTGATGATGGGTTTGAGGGGTCACAGGTTGAGCAGTCTCTATTCAGAGAGATTTTCTTTAGGAATGACACTGGTAGTGCTAGTAAGAAGTGTCTTGTCACCGGAGTAATAAACTTCGAATGCGAGTCCAGCAAGAACACTGCTACATCACTTTGTTCAAACAGTGAAAATTCAGTTTTAACAAGTCATTCTTCCTCCAAAAATGCCTGTCTTGACGACTTTTCTAATGTAACTGAGGAATTTAGAGAAACTTCTCAACTGGAGAGTTTCCCAGTAAAATTTGCTTATGAAAATCGTAATGGTGGGGAGGCTAGTGATTGTCGAAAAAAGTCTTCAGTTCATAAACCCCCTAACGCCGAGCCTGATTTGGGAAATGCTTCATCAGCTTTTCGAGAAAAGAATGCTTCCAGCGCATTCTGCCCTGTTACAGAACCCATCTCTGAAGTGGTTACGCTTAGGTTGGTTGAATGTTCCAGTGAGGGATTAACCTCCAGCTGCTATCTGCTGAAGCAGCATGGAGGAATGGTGAGAGGATGCAGAGTAGTTGACTCCAATGTTTCAAAGTGCAGATCGCAAAGCTTGGAAGGCAATGATGCAAAGGAAGCAATTATAGGTAAAGCTATTGCTTCACCTGCTTCCCAAGAGAGCTTTGCATCAAGGCTTTTGGCTGCAAGTCCAAGTGTAAATGTTCAAGAGAGATTTGAATCTCCTCTACATGCTGAGGAAAGGCCTCAAGAACACCAAAGCTTTGAATTAGATTTATCAGATGTTGCATTGAAGACAAACTTAAAGAAGGATCCTCGTCAACTTCTCCAGTATCATGTTGTTGACTTACTTAGAGCAGCGGGATGGCGTATTGAGAGGCGTAAAAGACCTAGTAGGCAATATATGGAGTCGGTTTACAGAACACCGAAGGGTAGGCCAGTTCGTGAGTTTGCTAAAGCTTGGAGGTTATGTGGTCAACTTTTGTCTGCATATAGTTTAGTGGAGGAAGATGATGGTAGGGAATGGGCCAATATTGCTCAGTTCTTCTTAGATTTATCTGATACTTTGGTAATTCTTGAGAAGGGCACAAATCATTCAGAATTGTCTTGTCGCTGGAGGCTGTTAGATCCCTTTGTTATTGTCGCTTTCATTAACAGAAAGATTGGTGCACTGAGAAAGGGAGAGGTAGTGAAAGCAACTTGCAGTCTAGCAGCTGATAGGAAGCTTGATGTTCGTTTGACCTTGACAAATACCGATAGTGTTGGCCACCAGATTGCAAAAAAAGATCCCCCCCCAACTTCCATTTGCGGGTCTGTTTTGGCTGGTGAAAGTGCATTGGTAGTTTCTGAGGGGAATTTCCATAACTCATGTGAGCAATATGGCAATATAGAATATAGCGGCCTGAAGAACAATGAGGCAGTCAAGTTTACGAAAGGCATGCCACTTGATACAGCTAAGGGAGAAGGTATGCTTCTTGTGAATGCTTCCAATGAGTTTGGAGATCTTCGTAGCTTAATCTCCGGGGTCAAAACAAGCAGTTTGGACATGACTTCCTTTGCTACACATGGAACTGGACCAACTGGTAGTACTGTTGTGCAGTCAACTAATTGTCAAATCTCTGATAAGCAGAGTTCTGATTGTAATGTGGGAACAACTAAGGAAGTTAATTCTTTCAACAATAATGCTGAATCGCTTGCACGCCAAGTGACTGATATTGGCCATTATCTACTGACGTCAGGAGACAACCATGCAAACAACAAAGGTGATGCATTGGTCCCTTTCGAAGATTCGGATGCTGTTAGGCACTTGACACATGTTGAAGAAGACGATAGACAACAATTTGAAGTCTCTGAATTAACGCTGGTGGATACATCCTCTCCTGGAGATATTATTTTGAAAAAGAAGACTCGCAGGAAATCAAAGAGGATTTCTGAAATGGAACCAAGCTCATTATACCAAAGTGGCAATCATTGTTCAAGTTCTGTTGATGAGGCTGACTTGCTGTATGTTAATGGTAAGGACATCCATTTAGAGTTGAATCAGGTTCAGGGAGACCTTGTAGCCAATGAAAGAATTAAAGGAACTTGTAAGAAGTCCTCATATCTCAAATCCTCCCACCATCAGATGGAGAAAAAAAGCTCGAAGTTAAAAAGGAATTTTTCTGAGCATATTGATTCTAGAATTGTGAAAAAGAAATCAGCTAGGTGCCGAATTGAAGATGATGACTTATTGGTTTCAGCTATCATAAGAAACAAAGATTTTATCCCAAGTAATGCTAGATATACTTCTCGAAAGAAAGCCTGCAAATCAAGAGCTCGAAGGAAGCTTAAGAGCCAAAAGCGTACCTGCAGATTGCTCCCAAGCTTGGTGAATGGGGGGAAGCACTTTAAAGATGGCAAGTGGTATTCAGTTGGAGTAAGAACAGTTTTGTCTTGGCTGATTGGTAGTGGAGTGATATCTCTTAATGATGTTATACAGTATCGAAACCCCAAGGATGACGTTGTCATCAAAGAAGGCGTGATAACCAGGGATGGCATTTTGTGCAAGTGTTGCAGTAACTTGCTCATGGTTTCTGTGTTCAAGATTCATGCTGGTTTCAAACATAACCGGCCATGTTTGAATCTTTTCATGGGATCTGGTCAGCCCTTCACCATATGCCTGCTTGAAGCCTGGTCAGCCGAATACAAGACCAGGAAAGGAGGTAGCCCTACAGTGCAAGTTGATGAGAACGATCAAAATGATGATTCATGTGGTCTTTGTGGTGATGGGGGCGAGTTAATATGCTGTGACAACTGTCCCTCTACTTTCCACCAGGCTTGTTTGTCTGCGAAGGTTTGCCTTTTGCTTCTTGAATAAATATGCTTGTTTGTTTCTATCGTATGATTCCATTTACTTTGGTTTCTGTAGTTTTATATTGGATAATCATTTCTTCGAATATCTACTGTCCTATATGCAAATACTGTTGCCTCTTTTTCTCTTGGATGAATACCTTTATATCTGCATTTTCCTGGTGAGACTTCACGTATCAGGATTCATATCTTTTGAGTTGCAATGCTTACAAGGTTTTTATTCGAAATTATTTTCTTTTATTTATTGATTTTTTATCCACTGTCCCCAAATCTTTTGATTTGTACTCTAGGATCTCCCTGAAGGCAGCTGGTATTGCCCAAACTGCACTTGTTGGATATGTGGCTCTTTGGTAAATGACAAAGATGTTTCAAGTGCCTCAGATGGATTAAAATGTTCACAGTGTGAACATAAATGTAAGTCTCTTTGTATCTGCATTGCAGTCTTGTGTAGAGGTAAAAAATGCTTGGTGCCGATGAACAAATTAAAAATATTTCTTTGTGGAATTTCTATGATTTTCTAAATTGGTTTCGCCTTAGTTTAAATATGTAGAAGAAGGTGAATTTTGCTTCAGGAGGATCTGAGTTTCCTTCTTATTGATGGGAGGAGATTAAATGGAAAATAAGGTTTTAGACAATAGAGATCTTGTCCTGTCCCAAATGTGTATTTCAAGTATTAATTTGACTTATAACTCCTGGAGAGTTATTCTACCTTGAAAAGCTTAAAGTTGATGAAAAGGAGAAGTATCGTGTGAAATGTACCACTAAAAAATTATCCTACATTGAAAAACTTAAAGTTGATGAAGAGGGGAAGTATAGTGTGAAATGAACCACCGAATTGCATCCGTTATTCACTCTATTTTGTAAATGGAATCTTAGGGTGCGTATGGTTGGAGGTAATGGAAAGGAAAGGAAAGGAAAAGAATGCAAGTCGTGTGTTTGGTTGGATTTTATTCTCAGAATAATCATTCCATTGGAATGACTTTTTGCTCATTTTAAAGGAATTGTCATTCCTTTGTGAGGTAAGATGAATGACCATTCCAATCGGCATTTATCTATATTTTCCATTATTACCCTCTGTATTTTATTTGGAAGCCTCCAACTTCATCATTTCAGACTAATGGCGTAACCCATCATCTCATCTTCCGCCAACCTTCGCCCCTACCTCTGCTTCTCTGACAACTCTCGCCGGCCCGGCCAAATCTGTATTTTCTCACCCAAGCACCACCTCACTTTATCTGTCAAATTCCTAGCTCGAGCGTTGCACCTCGCCGGATCTACCCCTTGCCCAAGTGAGGTTTGTTGCCTGAGCAATGTCGTGGCAGATCTCTACCAAAGTCCCGGCGTTTAGCTTTTCTTCTGACCAGATCTGCAACTCCTCGTCACCATTTATATATTTTCTTTCCAATGTTAAACAAAATTGATTGATGAACTCAATAGAAATGTAAAAGCTAACTAATTTATATTCTTGCCATCAAGATTTCTGATTGCATAGCTTACGGGTGGATTTTATTAGAGCTAGTTTCGTGGATTTTTGTGTGGTCTGGACTTTCCAGAAGTGACTATTGATGAAGTCAAGAGTTTCAGGCCACTTTTTTTTTTTTTTTTTCTTTTTCTAAATTGGGGGTTATGCTTATACAATGACTTCATTATTGTGCTTCATTTATCTTTGTGTTTTTTTTTTTGGGTTAAAAGAAGTCTATCCATGTCTGAACAAAAACGGTTCTTTGATGGCACTTTCAAGTTCTGGACTGCTAATCTGTAATCTAAAAGTGAGGGTAATTTTGTCTAACTAAATTTATCTGAAATCCATTCCATTGTATTTGCAAAATTCTAATCAAACAAAAAACTCAACTTTCCTTTCCATTCTATTCCATTACTATTACCATTACCATTCCTATTCTCATTCCGTCACTTCAACCCAACGCACCCTTAAGGTCTAGAGATTCTTGGTTTTATAATCTTGTTGCTTTGGTTTTCATGTATGCGTTTATGTCTGAACTGGTCAACAATTGAAGTTCTATTTCTAATTTGCTATGGCATACCAGTTACTTTCAATAAGGTGAAGTATACTTTAGTGATGCCTTTTGTTAGAAAGCATGGTTTTTTTTTAAAGATTTTTCCTTTTCTCTCGTTATTAACACGTATTAATTATCAATGTCCCCGTAGTTTGAAATTACAGTTTCATTGTTTCAGTTATATCTCTCTACTGCCTCTTTTCTGGACAGTTGGTATCTAATTTGCATAATAATGATACTTATTAACAGATCATGAAGCTTGCCTGAAAGAAAAGGGTAGATATCAAGCAGCGATGTCAGATTCCTTGTTTTGTGGTAGTAGCTGTCAGGAGGTACTCTAATGACTATTCTGACTATATCTAAAAATATGTATATATTTTATTTTGACAAGTAAGACAATTTATGGTTTTTTCTGGCCTTTCTTCACCTGGTAAATTGACTAATGTGCAAGGTGTTTTCTGTTATGGGGCTTCCATTTGTACTATCTTCCCTGGCTTTTATTTATTCATTCATTTATTTTTAGTCTGCTTTACATTTAAAATTTCTTTATACTACATTCAATATTATTAATTTTTTTTAAATAGAAATGAGAATTTTATTCATTGATAAAACGGGTGCTTTTCTTTTTAATTCTTGTAATAGGGTTTTTGTCTACAATAGAAGGGAAATACGGCTTGTGTGAATCATAGCATTCTCTTGTTCATATTTATGGTTATGTGCTCCTATTCTTCTTTTACAAAGACCTATTTTCACACCCACAAAGCACCCAGAAAGTGGGAGTCAAAAAAAGTTATGCTTTGTCTTCATACAATATTGTCCTTATTGTTTCCCACTGTTTACAGAAGTCGATTCACTTTTTTAATTACAGGAAGATGTTTGAGCTGGTTTTTTAGTTTTTGGGGATTTTTTCCCTGGATATTTGCGTTAAGATGGAATTTCACAACATACAATCTTAGCTTATAATTTATTAAGTGACCAGAGACATTTGTTCTTTGTTATTTATCATTTTTTTAATAAGAACGAAACTTATCACAATTGTAGTTTCGCTGTAATGTCTCTACTGTTTTAAGAGCTTTTTCTGAGAATGGGATCTGTATTGTTCTTACACATTGCTGCCGGTTAGTAACTTAGTATCTGCTTTCTGGTGTTCCCTGTCAATTAGATAGTTTGGTTGAGAAAAGTTCAAATTTTTCCTATGCCGTTTTACGTGTATGATTGTGAAAAAGGAAACTTTAAGTGATTCTTTTTGGCTTTGTTTCATAGTTTTGGAACCATGTTTTTGGTGTCTACATCTTTAGCAGCTATGTCTGTTCTAATTTTCCTCCAAGTCTCAATATACCGACAAACTATCAGTTGTTTCAAATCATATGCAGAGTGTATGAATGCTCACAGGAAATGTAGCGCATTTAATTACCTGCTCACCTTCTGATTTTCTTTCTATCAAGTTGTTGTAACTTTTATGTTGTATCGACCCTGAATTTTTTTTTTCAAACTTTGTACACTGGTGTTTTAGGTTTACCATGGCCTTCAAGCTCGTGTTGGTGTATTTAATAATGTTGCTGATGACTTTTCTTGGGCACTGCTTAAATGCATTCACGATGACCAAAAGATTCATTCTGCTCAGCGGTTTGCCTTGAAAGCAGAATGCAATTCGAGATTAGCTGTTGCTCTTACAATTATGGAGGAATGCTTTCTGTCGATGGTGGATCCAAGAACAGGCATAGACATGATACCTCATGTCTTATACAATTGGGGGTTAGCTCATCTATTTGATAGATTGCCTGTAGCATCTTTTACTCTTTACTTTTTTGGTGCTTAATTCGTTTATATTTTATATTTTCCTATTTTGTTCCCAATCCTAACCCCCTTCTCCACCAGTTCATCTTGGAATTTGAACAGTTATAATTCGTATCTTGGCAATAACCCTATGTTGTCTTACATTTATCGTTAACTTTCCTATATCTTACGCCTGCTGGCCATTTGGCTCATTCATTCTTGATAATCCTCATTTGGCCTTTTTTCAACGTCAATTTAGCTTCTCACCATTTGCTTTAATTGAGAGTTGATACTGAATGGACTATCAGGAAAAGGGAGGCGGCGGAGAGTTTTTAAGTGGAGTAAACAGATAACCTCCTTATAAAAAGATTCTTAGTCATATATGTGTGGTAATAAAAGAGGGAAAAATTATTTATTTATTTTAAAAAAAGAAAAGAGAGAAAGAAAGAAAGGGGAAAGGGAAAGTAGTAAGAAAGATGTCTTCAGCTCCAAAAGTAGAGAATGTTCCTTCTGTCAAAAAATTAGGTATGGTCAGCTGTCAGTGTGTAGACTCGTGGATAAACTTATAGAAAGATCACCTTACTTGGTGGGACTTCTTATTAGTGTTGTTACCATGCAAACAACTGGGATGTTGTATAACTAATTTCACACGGCAAATATTTATTACTATGGACTGCTATTTGATAGAAAAATTTTTCTAGTTAGTAACTTTTTTTTTTGTTCGTTTTGTAAAAAAAAAAACATTGGTGCAATTTTGAAAGCTAGTGAAAGTGCAAAATTTTAGATATGCTAGGTACTTGGTTGCTTGTTTAATAAACTATTGACTTAAACAAACCTATGTTATTATTCTTTTACATAATTCTATGTCCTTTTTGGGTTGACTTCTTGATCTTTAGACTGAAAAGTCATTTCTCAGTGTCTATTGGTCGTAAAAATTATATTGTTCTGCATATTTTCTGTTTCTTTTAGGAGTAAAAATGGTGCATTACGTAGTAAGTACATGATTGAGTGTTTGCTGTGGAACTGTCTTAGACTAATAAATGCATTGCATCTATTTTACACTATATTTGGGGTTCTACATCGCAAACTATGTTTAAGAATCAACCTTCATGGTTCAGGGATGGCAAGTCTAAGAGTTGCCGAATAGGTACCTTAAAGTGTTTAATCTCAACAATAGCAAAGTGGAAGTTTGCTAGATATTAGTGTTGGTGATATAGAACGTATTGACATTTGTGTGAGATTAGTACCATTTGAACAAGTATATTAAAAACTGACAACTCTGTGATTATCTGTGGAATATGCAAGAAATAAAAAAAAAAAAAAAAAAAAAAAACTTGTCAACTGAACATGTTCTATGTTTTTCTGCCCACCAGGTCCGAATTTGCACGTTTGAATTTTCAAGGGTTTTACACAGTCGTCCTGGAGAAAGATGATGTGTTGATATCTGTAGCATCAATCAGGTAGAGTGACAATTACTAGGAAATTTATCTGTAGCTTATGTCCTATTTTTCTGAGTCCCGACACTTATTCCTCCTTTTTTGTCTTTAGTCCCATTACTTTTTGCAATTATGTTAGTAAATCAAATACTATGCTAATACGATTTAGTAGCAAGTTGCTTTCCACAAGAAACATCTTGTATGGTGCTCTTCCCCTAATAATTTATTTTTATCTAGTTGAGTTCCTACTAATAAATAATTGCCTTTTTTTCCCTCTGTTTTAGAGTTTGGTTTGTCTTTTTGCTTCGACTTTTTAAGCCATTTTTTGTATTTCTCTATGAAGTTCTTGTTGAAAAATTATGCAACTTGAGTGTTAAGGTATAAAAACTATTGTTGGTTGTCCTCCTAAAAGCTCAAGCTTTTGGGATCGATTGGTTAACTAACATGGTATCAAAACAAGAGGTCTTGAGTTTAAACTCTGTAATTGCACTCTCTAAATGGTCATTGCGTATTGTGTCATTAATATGTTTTGGGCTTATGACTTTCTAATTAAATTTACCTACACGATTGCACATTGTCCAGCCCACACGTGGAGGGGAGTGTTAAGATATAAAATTTTTTATTGGTATCCTAAAGGGTTAAGCTTTTGGGATGAATTGATAAACTAACAAGGTCTGGATTGTATTGAGGTGGAGTGTTGAGATTGTTAACATATTGGCTGTAGAATGACAAATATGTTACCTTGATTTTTGGTAGCTTAATTTGTATACACTTAATGTACTGCTAATACGTTGACAATCTCAACACACTCCTTCAATATAATCCAGACCTAATCTTTAACAATATTTCAACATAATGTGTACGTGCCAGTGTAGGTTGCATAATTTTTCAACAGACGGAATCTTGGTTGTACAACATAAAAAAGTTACTGAAAAGATGTGAAAGGTGGATGATAACTCTATAATAATATCTTGTGTGTGGGGGAAAAATATTGTACTCTATTGGATACGACACTTTACAACTGCTAAACATTCTAATATAGAAATTGCTGTCATTGATAGCATACTAAAATGAGGTAGCTTGGATTTTACAATCATCCAATCCTTCTAGTGTTGGGATCTAGTGGGCCTTGCAAGATAAGTTGTATACTTGTATTGGCCTTTGGCCAGTTCTTTTGTTAGGTACCTGGTTCTATCTCAGCCAAACAGCCCAAAAAGACACACTCAAGCCAGAAATCAAGGACAATCTTTTATTATCATCAACTCAACTCTAACTCAAACAACTAGTAAGAACAACAAAGAAAACATAAGGCGATAGTCTGGAGTATTCTAGGACTCAGGAGAACTCCTATTCGGTGGTATTCGAGAGACCACCAACTCTCCTAAGGTTTCCCAAATTCCTCACAAATCTCAGCATGCCCCCACACTACCCTCTACTTCCCTGTTAAACCCAAAAACGAACACTAGCCAGCACTTATTACATCCAACCCAAAATCCTTTTCTTTCTTTCCACTTTACCCTTCTCTCTTAATCCGAATTTCCCTTCTCTCATGGACTAGCCTAAGGACAGGTCTCTAACATCTGTCTTCATTACCTTTACCTAGAATTTTTTGACTACATATCCAGAATGAGAAGGTGCTGTTTCGGAGGATATGGATACACAATTAGTTTTGCCATCTCTTGGGGTGTGGTTCTCGTGGATGAACATGCACACCATGTTCGAACATCAAACCTTCTTGTTTTTTCTTACTTTGCCTTCCCTCTGAAATTCTAATTGTGGAAAGAATTTCAGCTTCTTTAAGTTCTTTTTATTGTCACCTTTCTAGTTGCTTCCTGGTTACTGCTTAGCTTGTATCCACTGCAGCTCCTTTTCTTGCTGCACTCTTTCTAATTAGTCCAAACTCTACTCTGATACAGGGTGCATGGAACGACAGTTGCAGAGATGCCCCTTATTGCAACATGCAGCAAGTACCGTCGGCAAGGAATGTGTCGACGCCTTGTTACTGCCATTGAAGAGGTACATATCTTGTATGTTCAAATCTGTTTGTCGTAGTCACTTTACCAGACATCAATGACTCTTGAATTCGCCTATGACTGACTAAATGGTTTAATAAAATTTATTCCCGTACTCTACATGCTCCCAAGTGAATCATTCTATACTTGCGTTCTCTTTTTGTTTGGCACTGTCCCTGTCTTTGCTTCTGCCTCAAATTAAAATCATTTAGTTCTCAACTGCTTAATGGAACAAGGCATAGTGTATTGAAGATAGATAGTGAAAATCGAGGCTTTTATGTTCTTCTTATTTTATTTTATTTTTTTTTGTTTTTCCCTCCCCCTTTCAGTGTTTCCATTTGCTACTATGGTGCACAATTTGTGGAAATAATATGATCACGTCTCTATAAAATCCATGACTGTTGATATTTATTTGTTAATTTTGTTTATTTTGCTTTTTACATAGGAATGTTGACTGCATCCATTTTAACTATAAGACAGAGTAGAGTACGGCATCGAGCTTGACTCTTTGATATCCAACACATTTGTTTTTTGTTTGTGTTTATGCTTCTCTTCATTTCATTGTTGGATTCTAGATGCTTAAATCATTTAAGGTGGAGAAAATCGTTGTAGCCGCCATACCAGATTTGGTGCAGACATGGACTGAGGGTTTTGGCTTTACACCTGTGGAAGACAATGAAAAGCAGAGTCTCAATAAGATCAACTTGATGGTTTTTCCTGGAACAGTTTTGCTTAAAAAGCCTTTGTATGATAATAGAGATACGCAGGCGCAATCTGGTGAGCATTTTTGCCTCGTATAACTCCAACTGCCATTCCTACTTCATTGATCTTGAGAATTTAAATCTAATTTGTCAATTATGCTGCACAGGCGATAGATCGGGATTGAGAGCAGATGAATCTACCAAAGTGGATGATAGATTCTGTGCCGACAAGTTCAAAAAGCAATTCATTGAAAATGACATTGTAGAATGTAATAAGTTAACAGAATTTGAATGCAGTACTAAAGTTAAGGTTATTGATGGCGATATAGGAGTAGATGGTATGTCGTCAGTAGGCATAGAAGAATCTTCTGAAGTAGATTTTAATTCTAGAGAGCTCATCAAGTTTGGGCCATGTTATGCCGCCAAATGTTGCACCGATGCGGAAAATGAACCTATGGGCAGCAAGAACTTGCCGAGATCTGAAGTTTATGCTAGAACTGATAAGAAGACTGCAGAACAGCAATCTACTGTACATTGTCATTGTATTAGAGGTGGAGCTGAAACATCAGAAGGCTGTTGGAAATCAGAAATCAGAAGAGTCGAGGAAGTGGTTAAGCCTGTACAGCATCAATCTAATGGAAACTGTTGTGCTAACGAACAAGAAGTTGGACTCGACGGAATCGAAGTCATGCAAGTAGGCGAAGATGAAAGGATCTCTTTGCAGGACCAATTTTCAAAGCTGTCCTGTGAAGACCCAACTTCAAAATTAGGGGACAGCCAACCTGAAACGGTTAGTGGTGTCGAATCCTTTGTTATGTATGATGAAACACAGGTTTCCTTGGACGAACAGCTGAAGAAAGCCTGTGAGGTTAATGTAAGGTAGAAAAAAAAAATTTATTGAAGAGAAAATGACCTTCCACTGCTTAAGTAAAAAAGAAAACAGTAAAAAAATAAAAAAAAAATTACTTGACCTCAAGGCCAGTGAAATTTTAGCTTTAAAACTTGGGGCGGGGAAATTAATAAATGACCACTCCAGGGGTTTGGGATAGATGCTAAGATTCACACGGAAATATGCAGCCATTTATCGGATTGAACACGGTCAATTTACATTGATTTTGCGCTTCTTTTTTTATTTTTTTTTTCCGGTTGTTATACTGCACGACGTAGGCTTAGTCAAAGATAATTGAGAAAGCCGAAATCCTAGCATCACTATTTTCGTTATTTTTTTAATTATTTTTTGCATTTAATATTTGACACGTGTAGTTTATTATCTCATTCTTTATTTAAATAATAATATATTATGTTCGTAAAGTCTATGTGTTAAACAGTAAATAAAAAAAGTGAGAGTGAGAAAGTGACCGTGTATAGAAAGAATGATCTTAACATTTCTCTTAAGATAATTTAATAGGTAGTTGATGTTCCTTCTAATTGAATGAATTGCTCGGTTGTGCAGATTATAACTACAATCTAATGCATATTGTAACTAGAATAATGAGATTATGGCAAACAGTTTTTTTAAAAAAAAAAAAAAAAAAAAAAAAAAAAAGAGTCGAGGAGATTTCATGATGGAATAAGTAAGGTGTATGTTTGCTACCATCCAACGTATTTAGAGTATTGTTATATGTGAATAGGGAAGAGTACTTTTTGGAAAAAGAAAAAAAAAAAAGCCATCTAAAGAAGAAAATTGTTGTTGTTGTATTTTTTTTTTCCTTGAAAATAGAAAATTGTTGTTTGCTGTCAACGGAAGCACCTAATCACTAGCCAGGAGTACATTTGTGCTATTCTATACATTCGGTTACTTATTTATTCATGTAATTTATTTCTAGTACTATGCATTCAGTGATTAATCGGTGATTGTACTCACAAGTTAGCGATGGTACCAAACCACGGAATCACCTTGTCATCTACCAGTGGTAACTCGGTCGATGACTAATCGTTGACAAAGTTGCGTGGTAGGTTACTATGGGTGACCAATGCAAATCCAGAGAGCCATATGCATCCCTATTGTGCTCATCGATATCCAGATTTGACAAGATCTAGTCATGGCTTGCCAACGCGAGGCTTATGCACCTCAAATCGGATTTTGGCAGCACAATCTAGCCAGATCTAAACGAATCATATACAAACACTTATAAAAAAAAATATAAACAAATGAACCATATATAAGCTTCGCATATTCGGTAGCTTTTCTTGAAAGTGAATGCTAGCATGATGGTCCATCGCACACACATTGCCAAGGCATGCAACCCTAACAATGTGAGAAGCACGTTGTAGCCAACGATCGACGCTAGAGTCATAGACAATCTGTTATTATTATTTTTTTGGTTAAAAATAGAAAAGTAATCTAGCATATTATAAAGTATAATCTGATAAATTTTGATCGGCGAACGATGTTGGAGCCAGAGACAACATCTTATTTTTAGTTGAAAATAGAAAAATAAACTGACAGATTATGAATTATAACTTGGCAGATTATGAACAACAACCAGTGATTGGCGGCCAATGATTAGGAAACGAACAACTAGAGATCAACAACATGCGATCGACACCGGTGACCATCGATTACCTCCTAATGTCAACTAGTAATTTCTTAGTAGTAATCTTGTAGATTACTTTTTTTGACCATTGAGAGTATTTTTGGTAATTCATATATGAGACTTTGACTGGTTATAATCATTTTGGTAGAAATGTACAGTAAAATCTCTATAAAATAATATTGTTGGGACTAAAAAAAATATTTTTTTAACATGACTATTAATTTATCAATTTATTGGTAAATAAATATTTATTAATTTAATAAAAGTTTTATATTTTAATAATATGTGTCATTTTGGTACATGTATTATTCTATTGACGAAAATTTATATATGAGTTATAAATAAATTAAAAAATGGATATGGTCAAAATTAATATGTTCAAATATAGAATTTCAAAAGTTATGATGTATATAATAAATGTTATATACATGTACATAGAAACTAAAAAAAAAAAAAAAACTGTAAAAAAAAAAGAAACTCAAATATTAATATAAGTACATTGTACACATAATGGTAATAAATAAACAAATAGACATAAAATTGATGTACATATTTTTCAAATTTAATACCTAGAAGAAAAAAGTCCTTAATATGATTAATTTTATGTGTTATTTATTATTATTTTTTTGTATTTGATTAATTATTAATTTAGTTGGGATTAGAAGATTTTATTATTTAATCGAGATTATTAATTTATTGAACATTCATTTATAGAGTTTTCACCGTACAAGTTAACGTTGATGGATTAAACATTTGGGCCTCTATTTAAGGGAAAATGAGTTAAATACCTCTTAAAAGTGCTTGGTCAAGAGTTCTACATTTACTTTTGATTAAGAGCATTTTTATTTAAATACCTATACTAGTAAAAAGATATTAATCAAGAATGAGAGGTAAAAATAATAACGGATAAAAATCCAGACCTGTGCAATTTTAAAGATAAATTATGCAATCTCATTATTTTTTATATTCTATTTTATTGACACCTTAAAATATTTATAAATTTTAATTATTCTCCTTTTAAAATTAAAATCTCTTATAGTTCTAAAGTACTTTAATATACACTCCACACTTTTCTACTTTTAAAAATTTGTTTCTTAAAAAGATTTATACTTTTCCTTTATTTTTGTGTGAGATATGATTCTTTCTATTTAAACTTGATGAGATAAGATTTTTTCCGCCTAAACTTGAAGGTTTCTTTTTCTGTTATTTCCTTTTTGCTATTTTTATTTGAATTTAAACGATTTTTTTTAGTTGTAACGATTTTTTTTTCCTTTTCTTTTCTTTTTGCTTGTTTTATTTTAACAACTTTACAATTACTTTTTTAAATTTCTTGATTATGTTCACGCGACTAACCTCTTCTATTATCATCATCATTCATCATAGTTTCAGAATTTGAGTAAAAATTCTCAAAGCATTTATCTTCTTCGTCTTGCAAAATATAATTAAAAATCAAAAATAAAAACTAACAACTTCAATAAAACAAAAGACAAACGAGAAAAGGAAAAAAAAAAAGAACCATAAATTAAAACTTGATGAAACTTTCTCATTTTGCTTCATAATTATTTGGTAAATAGAAAATTTTTATTAGAGTTTGGATAAAAAAATTAGGTAAGATGATTGTTTTAATATCGCTTTAAACAAAAAGAAAATTCTCTGCATTTTTGTTTTTCTTCAACTTCAAAAATTACGTGGGGAAAAAAAGATTCAATGCAAGTTTTTTTAAATGCTTTAAATGATCGTGTGCGTTTAGTTGATGGATTCGTATCATAATTTAAATTATAATTCGTGACTTGTTATAATATTTTCTCTAATAAAAATTATACGTAAACTAATAATAATTCTGAATCATAATTATAAATTCATAAACTAAACGTTCACTAAAATTCTTTATAATTGTGGTTCAATTAATGACGGTGTTAGAATTTTAGATGGATTGGATCACGTGCTTATCACGTGGGTATTCTTAAAGGCATCTGTCCGTCAATTTTTTAATAAATCATACTTAATTTTTTTTTTGTTAAATCCAAATTGAGAATTAATAAATAATAATAATAATAATACTAATAACAACGACAACCCTCTCTCCCCCTCCTTCATATTTTTCTTCTCACGCTGAGAAGAGGAATATTAAGAGTTTAGTATTTAGATTCATTCTCTAATTTAAATTATGATTCATAATTTATTATAATATTTTTTTTATAAAAAATATATATAAATTAAAAATTATTCTAATCACGTAATTTAAATTTATAAACCAAATGTTACCTAAATATAGTTAAAGGTGTTCACAGAAACACCAGCTTTGAAACACCAGTGGTTTGAACAATTTCCTGTGTCTTTCGGACAAATCGAAACCCCCTAAGCCTAAGCTCTTTCTACCAGCAAGCGCAACGAGATTACCAGTATTCCCTCTGTGCAGTGAAGAAATCGGCTTGAATTTCTCCGCCGTTTGGCTGCTTTTGCTGAATCTACTTGCCGTTAGCCCAACCCAGCGCCGATCTCATCCCTCCGACGCTCCATCTCCACATCCAGCCTCAACCCAGCGACGATCTCCATCTCTCGTGGCTGCCGTTCGTACTCCAGACCAAACCCAGCCCTAATCTGTCCTTCGCGACGTGGGCCCTCACGGATCTGAGCATTTTGATCGAAATCGCCCACTTCACCGCGCCTAGGATCGCCGCCACGACTCTAATCGTCGCAGTTTCCCGCCACCGGCCTGGGTCCAGCTCCGATCGGCTCTGCCTGACGAAGACCCACTCGATTCCGGCCGGGATAGTCCTCTCCGCGGCGATCTGATTGAAGAAGAAACTCGTTTATTGCTTTGTTTGGGTCTGAAAATTTGGATCAATTATTCTTCCCTTGTCCATCATCTCCGGCGATTCGAAGACTCGAGATACAAGCAGCAGAAATCATGAGTTTCTCTTTCTCTCTGCCATCAAAATCCTCTTCGAAGCTCAAACCCATAAAGCCCTCACAGAACTTCGAGGACGATAACGACAACAAGTCCACCGAAAACGACGCTAATTCACGGAAATACGTCATCGAATTCAACGCATCCGAAACCCTAACCGGCAACGCCACTCAAAACGCCGTCGTAATCCCCCCTATCCAGAACGAATGGAGGCCCCACAAGCGGATGAAGAATCTCGACCTTCCGATCGCCGCCCAATCCGACGGCTCCGGCGGCCTCCAGTTCGAGGTTGAGTCCCTCTCCGACGCCACCAACTCCAGCATGTCGTACGGCCTCAACCTCCGTCAGACCGCCAAGGGAGATCATGATGATGAGATCAACGGCCAGGATGAAGCTAAGGACAAGAACGAACGGCTGAGATTCACTCCCACGGAGGACGTCTTGCTTCAGAAGTTGAAGTTCGATCTCCAGAGGTTGCCGGAGGACCGGGGAATGGCGGAGTTCGAGGACGTTCCGGTGGAGGGATTCGGTGCGGCGCTGCTCTCCGGGTACGGGTGGCACGAAGGGAGAGGCATCGGGAAGAACGCCAAGGAGGACGTAAAGGTCGTCGAGTACACGAAGAGGACTGGCAAGCAAGGATTAGGGTTTGTGATGACCGATCTCCCTCCTCTTCCTAACTCCAATCGTGATTCTTTGAATAATTCAATTCCGAAACCAAAGGATAATAATAATAATAATAATAATAATAGTAGTAGTAATAAGGAGAGTTTGATTGGCAAGGAAGTAAGAATAGTTCGTGGAAGAGAATTGGGATTGAAAGGTAGGGTTTTGGAGAAATTGAGTGACGATAATAGATTGGTAGTGAGGCTTTCGAGGAGCCAAGAGACGGTGAAAGTCAACATTCAGGATGTGGCGGAGTTGGGATCTGAGGAAGATGAGGCATGTTTGAAGAGATTGAAAGAATTGAGGATTCGTGAAGAGGAAGAGAAGAAGGAGAAAAAGAGTAAGAGAAGAGAAAACAAAAGCAGAGATAGTGATGGTGAGAAACAACAACCACCGAGAAAGTCGTGGCTGAGGAGCCACATTCGGGTTAGGATCATCAGCAGAGAGTTGAAAGGAGGGAGATTGTATTTGAAGAAAGGAGAGGTGGTGGATGTGGTGGGGCCGAAGGTTTGTGATGTGTCCATGGATGATGGCAGGGAGCTCATTCAGGGGGTGTCTCAAGATGTTCTGGAGAGCGCGCTCCCGCGGCGTGGAGGGCCGGTGCTCGTGCTGTTCGGGAAGCATGAAGGGGTGTATGGGAGTCTTGTGGAGAGGGATTTGGACCGGGAAACCGGTGTCGTTAGGGATGCGGATACTCATGACTTGATCAATGTCCGCCTTGAGCAAATTGCTGAGTATATTGGCGATCCAAGCTACCTCGGTTATTGATTCTTTTGGAGCCATCTTTGTTTGTAGAGGACGGGTTGCTGAATGCCGATTCGTCTTTCCGATCAATAAGTATCTTTGAATTTTGTTTTGCTAGTGACTTTGCTGATCCATAGGCCTTTTATGCTCACCACACTTTTTAGAATGCAATTTCTTCACATATAGATGATCAATTCATAACTTATTCTATGAACATATGTACTTGTGTGATGCAATATTGTATATTCAAATATTGCAAGGGAATTTGGAATGTTTTTGAATTAGTTATTGTAATTTGTATTCCCCAAGATTCTTCTGAAAGCACAATCTTTTACTTCATGCAAGGAAATTACAATGTTATAAAGAACAAACAGACAAATATTGCTGTTGGCATTTTGTGCTGTTGATCTTTCTATATAAAAAGCTGGTTTTAGTGATAATACTGCTATCTTTGATATCTTTATCCTTTTGCTTTTCGTGATGTCTTTCAATGGTTTCATTTCCATTTTTTTTTCCTGTAGTATAATAGATCAATTCTTTGCTTGAAAACAAGAAAGTTTTAGCCTTACTACAGAGTTTTTGGTATCCTTCCCTTGTGTCTTTTATAAATTCTAATTATTTAGATATCATAACTCTCAAATATTATACAGACTCTGTCAATTTAAGATACCTTGAGCAAGAAGTTCTTGAACTTCACTTTATATTTTCTAAATAGTTATCAAGTTTCAATTTCTTATGGTTATGCCTTTTCTTTTTTACTTTTTTTTTTTAATATGAAATGATTGAGATGCAATACTTGGGATCATCATAATTCTTAAACTTACGGCTTTTAAACTTAAATGTGAATATGAGGAGTAAAGTGAATGTAATAAACCATAATTTGTCTCAACAACTGCAACAGAACCCTAGAATAAGAAGGATTGTTTCTATATTACATGCAGATCTCAAATTTGACCTAATATGTTAGAGAGAATCATTCTCCCTATGACCATGCTCAAAGCAACACAGTAAAACTGGCATTCATTACATAATTCTTGTGTTTATTTAGACTATTTACGCATTATAACATTACACATACTTTTGCTGACCTTTTTTCTTTGAAACAGGAAACTCCATTTATGATAGAAAAAATAGTGAACAATCAAAAGAGAGAGAGTTATCCTCTAAATGCAAAATGCAAAAGTATAATTGCAAAAACGAGACCAATTTCTGACCGTATCAGCGAGTTGACAACTACTAAATTCCTTATCTTTATGAAACCCTAAAAGCCTACCCAGGAATTTGTTGTGACATTGTCCAAAGCCACTAAACTATCTTCCTTGTCGGTCCTATTCTATTGGCCTTTGGATCAGAGTAATGATTAACAGGGCCAGTCAGGGGCATTCGTATTTGATAGTCAGAGGTGAAATTCTTAGATTTATAAAACTGCGAATGGTTCATCAAATCAGTTATAGTTTGTTTGATGGTACCTACTACTCGGATAACCATAGTAATTCTAGAGCTAATACGCGCAACAAACCTCGACTTCTGGAAGGGATGCATTTATTAGATAAAAGGTTGACGCGGGCTCTGCTAATTGCTATTCAGTGATATTCGAGAGACCACAAACTCTCCTAAGGTTTTCCAAATTCCTCACAAATCTTAGCATGCCCCCACACTACCCTCTACTTCCCTTTTAAACCCAAAAACAAACACTAGTCAGCACTTATTACATCCAACCCAAAATCCTTTTCTTTCTTTCCACTTTACCCTTCTCTCTTAATCCGAATTTCCCTTCTCTCATGGACTAGCCTAAGGACGGGTCTCTAACATCCGTCTTCATTACCTTTACCTAGAATTTTTGACTACAAATCCAGAATGAGAAGGTGCTGTTTCGGAGGATATGGATACACAATTAGTTTTGCCATCTCTTACTTGAGGTGTGGTTCTCGTGGATGAACATGCACACCATGTTCGAACATCGAACCTTCTTGTTTTTTCTTACTTTGCCTTTCCCTCTGAAATTCTCACTGTGGAAAGAATTTCAGCTTCTTTAAGTTCTTTTTATTGTCACCTTTTTCCCTCCCCCTTTCAGTGTTTCCATTTGCTACTATGGTGCACAATTTGTGGAAATAATATGATCACGTCTCTATAAATTCCATGACTGTTGATGTTTATTTGTTAATTTTGCTTTTTACATAGGAATGTTGACTGCATCCATTTTAACTATAAGACAAGAGTAGAGTACGGCATCGAGCTTGACTCTTTGATTTCCAACACATTTGTTTTTTGTTTGTGTTTATGCTTCTCTTCATTTCATTGTTGGATTCTAGACTATGTTTGGTAGGAAGGAAAGAAAATAGGATAGAAATGAAATATGGAAGTGATGGAAAATAGCAATGATGAAAAGAAAATTGATTTTTTTTATGTTGTTTGGTATGAGAAGATGGAAAAAAATGAACTTACCTTCACTTGTTTGGTATTGGAAGTTAAATTGTGAGGAAATAAAAAATCTTACTTGTAAATTACTTTTATACCCTTAAATTTTTTGCTTGGATGTTGATAGAGAAAATGGTAGTTTAGTAATTTTGCCCACTTTAATAAGTTGTCCCTATTTTCTATCCTATTTTCTGCCCACTTGTGGAAAGAAAAAAAATGGTGGGGTCTACATATATTATTTTTCACTCTATTTTCTCTTCTTTTCTCTTTTCTCTCCTACCAAACAACCTACATTTTCATTTTTCCTCCCAAAATCCCTCCACTTTCTTCCTTCCTTCTACTTTTCTTTCCTACCAAACATACTCTAAAAATCATTTAAGGTGGAGAAAATCGTTGTAGCCGCCATATCAGATCAACTTGATGGTTTTTCCTGGAACAGTTTTGCTTAAAAAGCCTTTGTATGATAATAGAGATACGCAGGCGCAATCTGGTGAGCATTTTTGCCTCGTATAACTCCAACTGCCATTCCTACTTCATTGATCTTGAGAATTTAAATCTAATTTGTCAATTATGCTGCACAGGCGATAGATCGGGATTGAGAGCAGATGAATCTACCAAAGTGGATGATAGATTCTGTGCCGACAAGTTCAAAAAGCAATTCATTGAAAATGACATTGTAGAATGTAATAAGTTAACAGAATTTGAATGCAGTACTAAAGTTAAGGTTATTGATGGCGATATAGGAGTAGATGGTATGTCGTCAGTAGGCATAGAAGAATCTTCTGAAGTAGATTTTAATTCTAGAGAGCTCATTGAAAAATAAATTGACAAATTATGAATTAAAACTTGGCGATTATGACCAAAATTCAAGAAAAAAATTGCGTCTATTGCATCATAGAAACTCAAAAAAAAAAAAAAAAAAAAAAAAACTGTAAAAAAAAAAAAGAAACTCAAAACTTAATGTAAGTATATTGTACACATAATGGTAATAAATAAACACATAGACATGGAATTGATGTTCATATTTTTCAAATTTAATACCTAGAAGAAAAAAGTCCTTAATATGATTAATTCTATATGTTATTTATTATTATTTTTTTGTATTTGATTAATTATTAATTTAGTTGGAATCAGAAGATTTAATTATTTAATCGAGATTATTAATTTTTTGAACATTCATTTGTAGAGTTTTTACTGTACAAGTCAACGTTAATGGATTAAACATCTGGGCCTCTATTTAAGGAGAAATGAGTCCAATACCTCTTAAAAGGGCATGGTCAAAATTTATACTCTTACTCTTGATTAATAATATTTTTAATTAAATAACTATACTAGTAAAAGGATATTAATCACGAATGAGGAATAAAAATCTAGACTCATGCAATTTTAAAAATAAATTATGCGATCTCATCCTTTTTTTATATTCGATTTTATTAACGGCCTAACATATTTAAAAATTCTAATTATTCTCCTTTTAAAATTAAAATCTCTTATAGTTCTAAAAGTACTCTTATATACACACCATACTTTTCTACTTTTAAAAATTTGTTTCTTAAAAAGATTTACTTTTTCTTTATTTTTGTGTGAGATATGATTCTTTCCATTTAAATTTGATGAGATAAGTTTTTTTTTTTCTCCCCTAAACTTGAAGCTTTCTTTTTCTTTTCTTTCCTTTTTTGCTTGTTTTAGTTTAACAACTTTACAAGTACTTTTTAAAAAAAAAAGAATTCTTGATTATGTTCACGTGACTAACCTCTTCTATTATCATCATCATTCATCATAGTTTCAGAATTTGAGTAAAAATTCTCAATGCGTCTATCTTCTTCGTCTTGCAAAATATAATTAAAAACCAAAAATAAAAACTAACAACTTCAATAAAACAAAAGACAAACGAAAAAGGAAAAAAAAAACCATAAATTAAAACTTGATGAAACTTTCTCATCTTGCTTCATAATTACTTGGTAAATAGAAAATTTTTATTAGAGTTTGGATAAAAAAGTTAGGGTAGATAATTGTTTCAATATCGCTAAAAAAGGAAATTATCTGCATTTTTGTTGTTCTTCAACTTCACAAATTGCGTGAAGAAGAAAGATTCAATGTAAATTTTTTTTTTAAATGCTTTAAATGAAAATATTCAACCAAAAGAATAAGAAGAGTAAATCTTTTAAGAACGGTTTTTTTAAAAAAGTAAAAAATATGGAGTGTATTAAAAACAATATATAGAATGTACATAAGGGTATTTATAAAATTATAAAGAGTTCTAGTTTAAAATGAAAATAATTAAAATTTTTAAATATATTAGGGTGTTTTATAAAATTTTAAACTCGTTTAGTTCGTTAATTTAAGTTTTTAATTTGAGTTAAAATATATTTTTATATGAAAATTTTTTATTGTAATAAAAATATTAGATGTGATTATTTTTTAGAGTATTTTATTTTAATAAAATTTAAATTTTAAACTTAAATCGATAAAATGAGCAGATTTAAAATCAAAATTTTTAAAAAAATATCATATATCAATTTAAATTACGGAAATAGTAAGAAATAGGCCAATATGAAAAGCTTAAGAAAGTATATAAGTCAATTTTTAGTTATAGAAATTAATAGGCCATAACTTATCAAGTTATGGTTCATAACTAGATAAGTTATGAATAAACTTGTCAAGTTATGATTCATAGCCAGATAAGTTATGGACAAAAACTGTAAATTATGAATAATAACTTGTCAAGTTATGATTCATAACCAGACAAATTATTAACAAAAACAATAATTTAACTTATTTATTAATTTATATAAATTATTGACCTATTAATTTTAATTCATCCAAAATCTTAACATATTTTTCTCCTTCTCCCTTTAAATTAAAAACTCGAATATGCCGTGGGACAAGGCTTTCGTGTGTTAAGAGCGCATATGTGCAGGCCCATAATGGGAACTTCCCAACCGCCGATAACCGAAGCTCCGTTGGCTTAACTTCTACTCTGTACTCACCGACCATCATTTCCTATTTCCTTGCTATGAACGTCTCTGTAAAATCCCTCGGAAAGTAAAACCACCATTCAAACCCTAGATTCTTCTAGGGCTAGGGTTAGGGTTAAGGTTCCTCTTCCTCTCCCGCCTGCCATAACTAGACCATGCCTTCCTCGCCCAAGTTCTTCCGCGCGCGCCAACCGCACTCCGCTCGCAGATCCACCGTCCTGATCGTCGCCGGCTGCCTCCTCGTCGGGATCGCGGGCTTCGCCTTCGGACTCGCGTCACTTTTCCGGCCGATCAAGTGCTCGCACGGTGATCCCAGATCGGTGAGGGTGGTTTGGGAGAGAGGTTCCGGTGGCGGCGGCGGCCGCGACGGACACGGCGCCGTTTCGGATGGTGGTGGGAACAATCGGCGTAAGGTCATGGGTTTTGTCGGGATTCAGACTGGCTTCGGATCGGTCGGTCGGCGACGATCTTTGAGGATGACTTGGATGCCGTCCGATCCTCAAGGACTTCGAAGGTACATTTTTTTTTTCTTTTTCAAATAATTAGGTTGAATCTGTTTCGTCAAGTTGATCAAGCGGAAAATGGTGCCATCACTTTTATTGCATGTTCTCTCTAAGACTTTAACGATCTAATGTTTTGAGTAATGCCATATTATAGCATAGCATGTTTGAGTAAGGTAGCTCTGTTATGGAGGAACAATGTGTAAAGTCAAAGGGACAATTTTGGGACGTATTTCTTCCAGAGTTGCTTTTTTATTTTTTTTTGGTGCGAGAGTGACACTTCTCGGATGATAGTTACATTTTTATTTCTTAAAAGATTCCCGTATGAACGAGGCTAGAAGATGGACTGTTAAGACTGTAATAGGATTTAGACGTAGGTTTATTGGTGTCGCTTTGGTGAAGGATTGAGTGACAATTCCTTCAAGTAGAGAAATTTTACTTGGGCCTCTATCCGGCTGCAAGAGGTATGTTATAGTTCCAGGAACACAATATACAACTTCTAGGAGAATTGTAAAATGTACATATTGATGACAGAGAATGATATGAATGATGCAGGAAAGCCCTTAGTTTGATTGTTGACATTGACATTAAAGTTAGAACTTGGGTTTGTGGTATAGAAAATTGTCGGTATATGGTTTGTGGCCAGTTGCAATCTGTTCCTGAGGTCAAAGATAAAATTTGGAGGTTTTGTTTAGCAGATAATATGCTTCTTGCAAGGCAAGCCATATCCTAAAACGAAAGGTATTCTATGCCGCCTGTTATATGTTGGAAGATGAAGGGATTTAAAGCTAAATCAGGAAGGAAGCTTGGTTGTTTATGATTTTTAGATATAGGTTGATGATGGGCCGTATTAATTTTCCAAACTAGGATTTTTAGATGATTTGAGACTTGAACGAGATTTGGGCGGGAGTGGAATTTGAAATATTTAGAGCTTAGAAATTAAAGAGGTGGAAGTAGGTGTAAACAAACAAAAAAAGAGAAAAGAAAAGAAACAAAAACGAAAATGGAGACCTTGGAATCTTACCAAGGAGTTTAACGGAGCGCCTCATTAGAAGAAAGAAAACTTTCTGAAATGTTATTTATCCAGTTGTTCTTTGTCAAAGATTGGTATAGCTCTAAGATTAAAAAGCAGTTCATGATAGAAGCACCACCTTCTTTTGACCACAAATCGGTTACTTTAAATTCACCCATTCCATGATTATGGCAAATGGATGCTTTATTGGAGACTACCATACTTTTAGACTTAAATGTGAATATGAGGAGTGAAATCAACATAATCAACCTATAATTTGTCTCAACAACTCCAAGAAAACCCTACAGAGAATGAAAGTGATTGTTCTACGTGACATGCAGATCTCAAATTTCCTGCTGTATTGCCATGCAATTTTCTTTTTCAGCTCATGTTCATATGATGTTGAATTGTCTTCTTTCTGTTACTAAGCACTGCTACTTTGTATACATTTTTTAGTACAATTACTCAATAGAATCGGAGCTTTTTCATGACTCAAATACAGTAGCCTTCTTATGGTATCAATTCAACTCTTATCTCCATCTTCTGTCTTTTGCTGCGTCTAAAGCTACATCTAAAAATACTCAAGCACCAATAACTCATGTATTCTTAGGCTGACACTAGTAAATTTACTAGATTTTTTTGTTTATTTAGATTATTTTATATGCATAGTTTGCTGACCATTTTTCCAATTTATTTAAATGACGAGTGCAGCTTGGAAGAAGCCACTGGTCTTGCTTTCAGGTTTGTCATTGGTAGAACCAATGATAAGTCTAAGATGGCAGAACTGAAGAAGGAAGTTGCAGAATACGATGATTTTTTGCTGTTGGATATTGAAGAGGAGTATAGTAAGCTTCCATACAAAACGTTAGTGCTAGCTTATTGATACCATTTATCTTTGGCATTTTAATACGTTGTAAATAATATCTCCCTCTTCATTACAGGTTGGCATTTTTCAAAGCTGCCTATGCACTCTATGATTCTGAGTTTTATGTTAAAGCTGATGATGACATATATTTAAGACCAGGTGACTAGGTGTTTGAAACTTATGCTGCGTTTGGAGCAAGGATTTGTGCCGTGATTCGGATCATGGTTCGTGACTCGCTACAGTGTTTTCTTTCACAAAAAACACACGTAAACCGAGAATGATTCTGAATCATGGTTCTGAACCCATGAACCAAACGTCAACTTATTGCTTTTTCTTGCAATTATCTGTTTTATGAGGAGATGGCATCTGACTAACACATTTGCTAAAATGCCAGATCGCTTGTCATTACTCTTGGCAAAAGAGCGTTCTCATTCCCAGACTTACCTTGGCTGCATGAAAAAAGGCCCAGTTTTTACTGATCCAAAGCTGAAGTGGTCAGTGCATCTTGATGTTGTTTCATTTTTGTGATTTTCGTTTGAGCTCCTTCTTGCTAATGGGCAGGCCAGCTTGTCACCACTCATCAAAGCATTTGATGACCTTTGATTATACAAAATATGATTAGAGTGAATTGTCAATGCTTGCTTGAGATAAAGCTGGAAGCTTTTTCTCAGTTTTCAGATTCTTAGCAAATAAAAGAGAATAAAATGGATTATGCAAGAGATTTCTTTGGTTTAAGAAAGTTCATCTTAGAAATAAGAGCTTTTGTACTTTGAAAACCCAAAAGCTGAATCTTCAAAAACTTGTTAATACTTAAGTTAAAAAAAAAAAAAAAATCCTTGTTAATGTGTTTCGGGAAGAAAGCATCTAGACTTTAGAAACTTGAAAGTAAAGTTGAGAACTTTTATTTTGTTGGTAGGAAGGGTTAATTACTTACCAAAAAGTGGTGTCTCGTTTTTTTTTTTTTTTTAAGTTGGTGATTAATTTTGAACAGAGCTGCGTGGAAAAGTGAAATCCATATAGCCGACCCCAATTAAATTGGGATTAAGGCTTGTTGTTGTTGTTGTTGGTGTCTATCTTTTTCTATGCAATTGATTACATCACTTAAGTGTGCAGGTATGAACCGCTATCCTATTTGCTTGGGAAGGAGTACTTCCTTCATGCTTATGGTCCAATATATGCGCTTTCTGCTGACGTTGTGGCAAGCTTGGTTGCTCTTAGAAACAACAGGCAAGTTTGTTTCTCAGTGGACCTACCTTTTTTCCTAGATGTCCCTTGCTTTTGTACCCTGATTTTTAATTGCCTTACAGAATTTGGTCATGTACTTGTTTATCATGTATTCATGGATTTTCCAAAGTTCGGTTCACCTTATAAGTTTGTTCCTTGTTATTTTGAACTTTGAAGTACTCTTCTAGTTTGCCATTGGAAATTTGTTGATCAGATTCTTGAGAGGTAATTTGTAGTAGTTTTTTTCCTTTGCTTACTGTGATTTTTTTAAAATTTTTTTTTTTGTGAGGATATCTTGTCCTCTCTTACCTTGTATTGATTCATCCATTATCATTAAAGGTTTTGTTTATTATAAAAAAATGATGGTCTCAACCAGTATTTTATTCAACTTCTTTGCCCACTTAGGTGAAAGCTCAACCTAATTCCTGCAAGATTTTCATGACCAATAATGTCCCATGTGGTCAAACATACTAGGCTCTCAATGCCATAACGGATACAAAATTGTTAAAACAACAAGCTTGGTCCTTGATGTTGCACCTTGAACTTAGCTTGGCGATTAAAATAGTTTCTGTTTAAGTAAATTCAGTTTCTACCTCTTGTGCCTTTGAGGAAATATCATTTCCATGATAAGGGGGTACGAATCTCTTGATGAATGCCGGGTTGCTCTGCAAAAACATTGTACCCTGTTTATAGAAGAATTAGAGGTTTTTTTAAGTAAATTCAGTTTCTACCTCTTGTGCCTTTGAGGAAATATCATTTCCATGATAAGGGGGTACGAATCTCTTGATGAATGCCGGGTTGCTCTGCAAAAACATTGTACCCTGTTTATAGAAGAATTAGAGGTTTACTGTTAAATGTTCTGGTATATCTTTGACTGTCCGAGATGTAACACAAATATGGAAAGCGTAAACTGGAGTCTTGAAGCATTTTTCACCCACTGTCTGGATTGATCAAGTGGGAACACTTTGTGGTGTCATGATTTATGGCACACAAGATTAACACGTGGAACTAGTTGAAGTTTAAGTTGGTGTTCTGTGTTGTGCCGAGGGTTGGTATTGTCTGAATATGAATGTCTGTAAATTTATTTGATTTAGATGTTAATATGGTATAACTTGACATGAGAAATATCCTAATGTGGTGTTGCTGGTTATTGTCTTGACTGTTGGCTTGTCCTAAAAATAATATATATATATATATATATTAGCTAAAGTTTATAATTCTTAAAATTTTAAGATGACTTGCTTAATCTCATTTCCACCTGGCCTCCCTTTCCTTTTCCTGAAAAACATATTAATTAAAAAAAAAGACAAAAAAAGGGTGCAGAATTGTGCCTTTTTTTTTCTCTCCCTTCTTTCTTTTTTTTTTTTTTTTTTTGCTTTAGAGAAGAAAAGAGAATTATGGTGGAGATGAAATCAGGTAAGATATAATTATTCCATTATTCTTTTTGGGGCTAGGTTTTACTTAAGTAGTTTCTTCCCTTTGAGTGCAGTTTTCGTATGTTCAGCAATGAGGATGTTACCATTGGTGCATGGATGCTTGCAATGAATGTCAACCATGAGAACAATCAGGCACTGTGCTCGCCGGAATGTACATCAGCATCTATTGCCGTGTGGGATATCCCCAAGTGTTCAGGTTGGTGTTTCTTCTCGCTTTAACAGACAATAATAGAAGTTACTAGAAGTAATCAGGTTCTAGAGATTGTTTTACCTATAATTTCAAGTTCTTATATTGAATATCAGAATTTTCTGGAGAGTCTTGGAACCTTGCAGTTGTTTATCCAACCCACTGACAGTTTTCTTTACATTGAATTAATTATTCTGATTGATACGAAGCTGTATCAATCTGAGTAATTACAATTCGTTACATTATTGTTAAAACATAATTTGGATGAAAAGGAGGGAAATTGTTAAGACTGCTAAAGTGGAATAGTTGCTTGATAAATTTTGGTTCGACACTTGTAAGAAAATTTTTGCAACCCTTCCTGTCCATGTAGGGCTCTGTAATCCGGAAGCGAGGTTATTGGAACTCCATGAAAAGGAGAGCTGCTCAAAGAGTCCTACCATGGAGGCTGATGATGATTAGCACTAAACATACATCCTTTATTATTTCTGCCGGAGTCAGGTAATCTGAGATGATATCTTGTCCACCCTGATATTACCAGGCGTATGTTGTTGATCTAATTATTCTCTTTTCAATTTTCACTCTTCATCATCACTTTTGTACTTTTATCTTTTTTGTTGTGTAAGATATAAAACAAACAGAAACCTCATACGACAACACAATTTGGTTTGTAAGAGAGTACAATGAGAGTTTTAGCAATAGAGGAATTAGGAATCTTAGTTATGAGGGTGTAATCTTTCATGTCTATTTCTTATTTTTATTAAATGGAAATATGATTCTTTCAAATTTCTGCGACTGCTGGATCTTAAACAGCTGATCAATCATTACTTGCCTTAGCCTTGAAAGTTATGTATGCGTTCTTTGTTGTGGCTTAAAGTTCGTTTGTGAAGACAAGGGAAACTGGCGTATATTTAGTCGCGGTCCTTATGCCCAAAAAAGAAAAAAAAAAAAAAGGCATTTTCACTTTTTGATCTTTGTAAATGAGTTCACAATGCTCCCACATTAATTTCTGTCTAAATTTGTTAGCCTAGGTTCAAATCACGATTTAATTCCCTTTAAATTTGTCAGCCTCTGAAGCCCGTGGTTCAGATTTCATTCAGCACATTTTTTTAGCCATATTTGAACTTGAATGGGAAGTGTTCGGTGGGAAAAATTCCCGAATTCAGGCGCACAAGAAACACCGAAAACTTGTCTAAACTCGCATGTAAATACGCCGAAGGATAATTTTTGGAAAGTTGTTGAATCTTAGTTGGAAGAGTTTTTGTGGCCAACTTGTCGAATGATGGCAAATTTAAGGCAATAACAAATTGAACATGACTCACATTTGATTAAAAAAAGTTGAATTAGAAATAAGTTGAGTGAAATTGAAGTCGCTATATTACAAGCAGCGTACAATTATAATATGATTAGTGATTGGAAAATCATTTATACAAGTATATAAGGGAATGGAGAGTGAATATCAATGGGAAAATGGATACTATATCATGAATAGGTTTAATTTGTTAAGCATTAATCCTGATTGATACAAAACGGTATCAATCTGACAAATTGCATTCAGTTATATTAGAAGCTTATCGGACATCATGCCGAGTCATTGCTACTTGGCATAGTAAGAAATAGGCAAATTGAAAAGAGAATTTCATGTTATGTGTGAAACATAATTCGGATGAAAATGAGGAAAATTAAAAGTTACTAATGCGCAATAGTCGCTTGATAAGCTTATTAGATGGGTATACTAAATGATACAATTTTATTAGACATGTGTACCATATAAATAATATGACGTGGTACACCAAGTCTACTGAATAATTTTTCGGTTATTACATTTATATTCTGAGAGAGAAAGAGATAGAGAGAGAGAAACAATAATAATAAACAAGAACTTCATGCAACGGGTAACGGGTAACGGTTAACGGTAAACGGTTAACTGTTAACGGTTAACGGTTAACGGGTTAAACGGTTAATAGGTTAAATGGTAAACGGTAAACGATTAACGGTTAACGGGTTAACGGTTAATGGTTAAACGGTTAACGGGTTAAACGATTAACGGGTTAAACGGTAAACGGTAAATGGTAAACAGTTAACGGTTAAACGGTAAACGATAAACGGTTAACGGTTATCGGGTAACGGTTAACGGTTAAACGGTTAACGGGTTAAACGGTAAATGATAAACGGTTAACGGGTAATAGGTAAAGGTTAATGGTTAACACTTAACGGTTAACGGTAAACGGTAAAGGATAAACGGTTAGCGGTTAACGGTAAATGATTAGTAGAGCTAAAAATTCAGGCCGCCCGGCCCGGGCCTGACGGCCCGAAAGGGTAGTTCAGGCCAAGCCAGCTCGGCCCTAAATAATTTTATATAGGCCTAGCCCGGCCCTAAGGCCCAACGGGCCGGCCCGGCCCGGCCCGGCCCGAGCATGATATATAAAATATTAAAAAAATATAACGAAATTTATAATAAATCCCGGAAGGGGTAGTTCAGGCCAAGCCAGCTCGGCCCTAAATAATTTTATATAGGCCTAGCCCGGCCCTAAGGCCCAACGGGCCGGCCCGGCCCGGCCCGAATCGGCCCGGCCCGAGCATGATATATAAAATATTAAAAACAATATAACGTATATATACACGCACATACAAACACATATTATATTATATAAATATTTATTTATACAAATTAAAATAAAAATACATAAAAAAATAAAATCACACAAAAATAAATAAAAATCTAATAAAACAAAATACATTAAAACAAACTAAAATAAATTAAAATCTTGAGAATTAAGGTGGTTTTCGCACAAAATTAAAAGTAAAATAACTCTATTTTGTAGAGTTGTCAATAATATTTTAACTACTATATCTATTCTTTGTCATAATTATTAAGTCTTAAAACTCGTAAAAATAAACTTTTAATTCTAGATAATTTAATAATGATAACGTTAAATGATCAAATGAAAAGGTAAAATACTTCAGCAAATAGCATCCAAATATGAACATATGACATATGTTCTACTTTGGGTCAATTTAGACATAATACAACATATATCACAACCAAACCGGGCCGTGCATAGCCTTAGAAAATGTTGTGATGATATTTAAATGATACAGTGAATATTAACTAATAGTACGCTAAATTTTATTATCAGTAGAACATGTGTCAAACTGAACATAAATTTAACTTCTCTAAACTCTATATAATATATATATATATATATATCTAATTATATGATTTTTTAAATTATTTTACGTGTAGTGATGCAAATAATTAAATATTTTAACCGCACTACTGCATCAAAAGATAATTTGAATTACATCTCTCATCTCTATCGTTGGACGTTAAATTTAAGAGTAATATTAGTAACATCAATTTAAATCTCAATTTTTGCGTCACTAACTTACAAGATTATGAATTGTCATATTTTAATTAGTATATGCAATATTTTTATCATTAGCTGACGTAATAATATTTTTAAACTTATCAATAGAAAAAAAAATAACTCACATATCATATCCGTTGGTAGAGCTGAAAATTCAGGCCGCCCGGCCCGACCCTAAATAATTTTATATAAGCCCAGCCCGGCCCGAAGGCCCGACGGGCCTAGGGCCGCGCCGGGCTAATGCGGGTCGGGCCGGCCCGGCCCGAGCATGATTTATAAATTTTTTAAAAAAAATGAAATTTATAATAAATAGTGAATATTGTAAAATTTTAATGGAATAAGATTTTTTTTATGTATTTATAACTGTCTTATTAAAAACCTTACCAAGAAAAACCCATTGGGATAAAACCTTGGTAAGGAAAAAAGAGTGCAGTATTATTTTCACAGTTACAATTTATATTAAGAAACAAAAATATCTAACTGCCTGCTACGCTACTCCCCGTATAAGAAGCGTCATCGTCAATGTATAAGTTTTGAAATTGATCCATTAAATCGCTGTCTTCGGCTGTGTGTTGCATTCGTAAAGAAGCATTTTCCCAATCTTTTAGACATATTAGCACCTCAACCATTTCTGGAGTCAACGAAGTCCTTCGTTCTTCAATTATCCTCCCAGCTGTGCTAAAGGCAGATTCTGAAGACACCGTTGATACTGAAATAGTCAAGATATCACGTGCTAATATTGAAAGTATTAGAAATCTTACACCTCGTAGCATCCACCATGCCAAAATTTTGAAATTGTCATCATTATCAGCACCATCTATCACCGAGAATTCTGTCTCAAGGTATCTGTTGAGCTCCTTATATTGTGTCGTCGTTGGTGTTGATGGTGGGGGCATGACACTCGGAGTCACAGTTGATGATGAACTAGAGCCACCACGATGAGAAGATATAAAATTCCAAAACTTCTTTTTTGAGTGGGCCGGCTGATCTTGTTGTGTTTGTTGAGTTCTCAAGTTACCGAACTTGTTCTCGTAAATTGCATAAATCTCAAATAACTTCTTACATGTGTTAACAACCTGTGAAGTATAATCTATGTCCAACTGGCCATCGATATGAGAAAGAACATTTCCAAGACCGGATAATTTTACTCTAGGATCCAAAATAATTGCTAAACAATACAACAGAAGAATTTCAGACCAATATTTCTTAAACTTTGCTTCCATTTTTTATACTATCGGTTTAAATAACATATCATTTCTATACGTTTCAAATAAGTATGTAATCTCACAAATTTGATGCAACACTAATGGAGAAGTAGGATAATAAATACCAGATAATAAAACAGTAGAATCATAAAAAACCTCCAAAAAATACACAAATCGTTCGCAAATAAACCAATCATCTTCCTGCAACATTGTTTTGCCCATTTTTAAATTGAAAAAAATAGTGATAATATTTTTATATGGTAAAATACTCTTCAACATCATATATGTTGAATTCCACCTAACAGGCATGTCAAGACCAAACTTTCTAGGCTTCATACCTTCTGCTTTACAATAATACCTCTTAAACTCAGCAATACGGGGGTTTGAATTATGAATCCAAGAAATGGCATTTCGAATATTATCAATTGTAGAACTTACCATATGCATACCTGATTTGACAATGAGGTTAATTATATGGCATGCACACCTTTGATGAAGTAATACTCCACCACTATACGAGTTTATAAGTCCCTCCAACATTGATATCACCCTTGCATTAGCTGTAGCATTATCTAAGGTGATAGAGATAATGCGGTCTCGTATACCAAAATCTTGAATAACACTAACAAGTCTCTCAACAATATTGTCAGCATTATGTGAACAATCAATAAGTCTAAAACCAATAATTCTTTTTTACATATTCCATTTAGAGTATAAATAATGTGAAACTACGCTCAAATAATCTTGATTCGCCCTACCACTCTAAATATCAGAGGTTAATACAATTGAAAATTTTAATGCACCCATTTCAACTATTAATGTAAGACGCATTTTCTCATAGTATGCAATCATATCACTCCTAGTAGTAATTCTAGAAACTTTTTGAAATTGAGGACAATATGCACGTTGAATATGCGCTTCATAATATGGGTTATCACCAAGGTTAATAGGTAAATCTAAAACAGAAATAAATCGACATAAAGATTCCCTAGCAACTTAAGGATTATAGGACCAAGTACTTACCGAACCATTCGGGTTTAAATGAAGTTGAGTTTGTGTAGGCTCCGTCCTGGCTTGCTGTAGTCTAGCGCATTTAAACCGTGATCTCTCAAGTGTCGAGTTCCACTCATAGAATTTTCTCTCAAAACT